CTAAGCTATTAGTAAAGTAAAGCAATACATGTTTTAGCATGGTTCTGGAGCCAAAAGAGTGAATATATAATTTTATTCATGTTGCCCACTAACACATTTATATAAGCTAATTTATCTGAAAATCCTATTACATTTAGAGGCAGTTTTTTACTTTTTCTTTCAACATTCAGAAACTACCAAGAATTTTTTTTCTCTCTCCTTAGCTGACCACTTGGAAGCATTTTTAATGCCAGACTTGAATTTCAGATACTCTTCAAATTATTTAACAACTATATTTAAAGGATTTAAATTTGTACAAATTTAGCAACCTGTTAAAAATGTATGCAGTTTTTTCCTTTCACAAGTGCTGCTGCTACTTGAACAAAAGAATCTTTGAACTAGAATACTTTTTTTAAAAAATGCTGCAAGAACCTGAGACTTGCAAAAAAAAAAACTGTTTTACCAGAAACTTGCTACAAAAAATCTGCTACATTTTATTTCATCAAATCTCAAAGTTTTGTAACAATTTCCATCAAAATACAAAATGCTAATGGATTTGACAGCAAAATATCCCGAACAGGAAAAATGGCAATAAATATTAACAGAAAAGTGAGACATCCCCACAATCAAATTTCTAAAATGAATGAACTACGAGTTTTAAAATATGCTTTCATTTTAATCGCACTTTCCCACCTAAAAATACAGCATTTCTACAGGAGTTGTGTTTAGAATAGTGTGACTAAATGCATATTAGAACGTAACAAAGTGGCATGGGGGGGGGCCTAGAGAGGCTTGGCCAGAAGAAGAAAATATCTCTAAGGTTGGTGAGGGAGAGAAAAAAGGACATTGGATTACTGCAGCAGCCTAATGCCACAGCCTGATTTTCAGCAGTGGCTTACTAGTAGTACAAGCTACACGCCTAGTGACACGTACCTTAACTTCAGTATGTAAACGGTAGCAGAACAGATTGCAGCTTTCTGTAAACACTGGTGGTAACTAAAATACAAAAAGCTGAGGTAGCGGAGTATCTCTGCAGTATTCCAAGAACTGTTTTTGCTCAATGAAACCAAAACAAACTGAGTTGCACATTTTGGAAAAGACACTTCTGCAGCTTCAGATGGCGGTAAAAGTGGACACTATTTCATGTGACGCTTACTACCAGGAGCTCACCCATCCACTTGACCTTCTCCTAGATCAGGGGCAGGCAACCTTTCCCCTTTAAGGGCCGAGGGACTTCAGCTCCCAGAAGCCTCAGCCATGTTGGCCAATAGTCCCATGTTGGCCCATGGCTCCTGGGATCCTGGGAGCTGAAGTCCCTCGGCCCTTAAGGGGGAAAGGTTGCCTACCCCTGTTCTACATGTTGACCTAACACAAGTCTGACTGTCAGAGGCTGCCAAATACTGACACTAGAATTCCTACTGCCTTAGAGTCGGCCTTCTCTTAATTATTAAAAGAAGGAGTTTGAGAACTACAGTCACATCATTCAGCCCAAGAAAACAGCAACTTTGCAGGCCAATTCTGACATCCCAAAATAAACTCAATGAAAGGCCACTAAATTATCTTCTAATTAACACTGTTCAATATGGTCTGTACTGAAGAAGCTTGGTCTAATTCTTACAATCATTAAAAACAAAATTTAGAGGACAAAGCTGTCTCTTCTGAATATGGCCACCCAGCGAGTCTTTCCAAAATAATGGAAGTTCAGAAAGAAACCTGTTTTTAAGAACTCTGAAGGAATACAATGGAACATTTCAAATAAAAACAAAAACACAACTACAGCCACCTTATATATCCCATTGTGAAATTTTCACAGCACATTTTGTTTGAAAAAACTAATATACTTTTGGAATAAATGCATTTGACCCATTTTGAGATAACATTGTTATTTCCATAATTTTGCTTTCTGGAGAGCAACATATACATGTTAAAACATAGCACTGGCTGCCATCTGACAATATGGGAACCTGAAACTGTTCTTTGGGAACACAGGCTTTTGAAAATAACTTTCTAATTCTGTCATTGGCTACAATCCCAACCATTTTAATAGCCTTCTCCTCTTCCTCCTCCTCCTCCCTCCATTGACTATAAAGGCACATTGAAGGCAGCTCCAGAGAGCCTCAACTTCACATTATTGTACACCAAAGGTAATTCATTTTTACCACAATTCTTCACTGCCAGCTTTAAAAACAGGCTTCTGTCCATTACCTCAGAGAATAAAGGAAAAGGGGAAAAATATTTTTTTTAGAAGCTGCCCATTTACAAAACAGTTACATCTGCTCTATCCAGTTTGTGGGTGTTTTGTTAGCCTGCTCCATTTTGCCTGAAGCTTCTCATAAGATAATGCATGTAGACAGCAGAAATGAGAGCAGTTTCTGTAGCACCAAAAATCTCCAAGTTGTGGCATTATATTCTTTTATTTATATCAAGATACAAATATTATGAAGTTCTGTTTGGTTCTTGTAGGCTGGCTGGTTTCAGGTACCTGAGACAATAGCACCAAATTCATAACAGAAAATGAGACAAAGAGCGAGCATGTTAAGACCAAGGCTCTGCACATACTTGGTGCAACTGGAAATCGAATGGCTCAGAAGACTGCTCTCCCATGAGCAGCTTATGAAAAGATAAACCCGTACATCTTGGAGAGTTCACAGGAATGTTTCAAACATATGAACTGTTCTTTCCATCTCCTAAAAGAAGACAGAATATTGTTATAATGATAAAGCAGTATGACTAGTATTAACAGTTAAAAACAAAAATACTACAACTGCGGTACAGAAGTATCTGAATTTTGTTTATAAAACATAGATTATCTTTGCAGGATACTACTACAAACAGATTATGGCAGTGTCAATTACAAACCAATTAATCACCCAATCTAGCCCTCACTCACATTGACAGAAATAAATTGGGCCTGCCTTAAATTCAACTTCACTGACTGAATCAAGTCACAGGTATTATTATACCCTTTCAGACTAAATCCAACTGTAAGTCTAAGTAGAGTAGATCCAATGAATCAATGGGATTTATGTAAGTGTTCATTTATCATTCAGCAATTGATTCAAGGATTCGAAACATAATCAAGGCTAATAATTGGATTTAGGCCTCTTGTGGTTTTTTAAAAATTTCTATCTTTTCAAAATCCTTCTTGTGAACTGCCTTCCATCCAGATTTTGAGAGAAAGGTAGGCTATAACTCAAATTATGCTGCTTATTTTATCACTTCTTCCCAATAGTTCAAATCATCAACAACCAAATGGCACTCAAAGAAGATTCGGGCAGCTATTTGTTCATTAGTTTGTATTCTACCATCCCAAGCATTAAAACAAACAGGCAGCGACCACAAGTAATATAATACAAAAAAATAGCAATCAAAATCAAAGAAATGCAATAAAAATGAAAATCAAATCAAATGTGAACCACCCATAAAAACAGCTTAAAGGCCAAAGGCAGAAAGTCATCAGCGAATGGAGTAACTGGGCTTGCCTTGGCAAAGGCCTCCATCACCTGGGAGTAGCCACCAAGGTGGGCTTAAAGGAAGAGTCACTGAAGAACGGCATTACAAACATCACAGATACGTTTACGTAAAGTTACCTCTACAAGCTGTGTCTTGTCATAATCTTTACGATGCCGGTAGATGCACTGATTAAGGAGTGAGTAGAGCCTCTCAAGCTGGTCGATAGTCAGGTTATCACTCTTCTTAACCAACAAATCTAGTAAATTCTGTAAGCAGAAATTGGCATAAGTTCAGGAGGAAGTGTGAAGGAAATCTAATTCACACTTTGCTTTCAAACAGTAAATGGGCTACAATAATTAGAAGCCTAATTATTACTAAACCTTTATTTGCACTCTCTTCACAGCTAAGTGCTAGACAGAACATGGAATTAACACTCTTTCCTTGATGGCTCGCAACAAATGTATGGTTCACCATAATAAGTAATGCCATGTAAATTTCATATTGATGGGGAAGGTCATTTTTCCCTCAGCAGGTACAATCATTACTCTTATGAAATCAGATGCATTCATACAATGGAAAATATAAGTGCACTGACAAAGAGAAACTTATTTGGAATAGAGCTGTGCCACATATTCAGAAGTAAACTATTTTCAGAGCACACAAAAGGAGTTCTGGAGATCCAAAAGCTTTATTTTTATTTATTTATTTATTTATTTATTTATTTGGCACTAGCTTGCTGCTGTTTCCAGCCCAAATTTCTGCTACCAGCTTTTTGTTTGAAAATAGTCCTCCTTCATAGGAATAATGACAACTTTTTGGCAGGCTAAGTATGTATCACATCATAGAGTAAATGAAACAATTTCAAAACGAGGTCAACACTGTCACACTTAAACACATTTGTCCCAATTATATTGTCACGCAACCACATGGCCGTGTGACAACATCACTGGTATCAGGAAATCTGTTTCGTTTGTTTTTTAACTGCAAATGAGGCTGTGTAGCACAACCTACAGGGCTACTGCCTGAATATCAGATGTCTAGTGGGAGAGTAAAAGTCCTTTGGATTCCAAATTAAAGCCGAGCTGTATTTCACTCTGTGAAGTGTGGGAAGGGAGGGCAGGAATGTACACCTAGGTAACCAATTATCTTTTGACTCTTTTACTCAGTGGTTCTTAAACTGTGGGGTGATGGCGAACCTTTTTGAGACCAAGTGCCCAAACTCGGCGGCATTCCCGCACCAAGTGTCGCCGGGTGCCGGGACCTCCACAGGGCAGGACCGTGGCTGAAGCCAGAGGTCCAAAACACCTTGCAGAAATAATCCAATCTGAGACTACTTTAACTGGCTCAGTGCTAGCAGATCCTAGGGATTGTAGTTTATTGTGGCACCAGAGTTCTCAGGCTTATTATCTCACCAATCTACAAATCCCAAGATCCCACAGCATTCAGCATTAAAGTGGCGCCAAACTGGATTATTTCTGCAGTGCGGATGCAGCCCTAATACTAGTGGCTGAATACCACTGTTTTGTGGGTTTTGGATGTTACTCTACTTTGCTATATGGCCAAGAAGAGCCAGCATGGTGTAGTGGCTTGAATGATGGACTATGGCTCAGGAGACCAGGGTTTGAGTCCTAGCTCTGGCAAGTCACACTTTCTCAGCCTCAGGGATTGTCAATTGCTAAGAAAATTCTGCAATAGGATTGTTGTGTTTGGGACACCAGTGTGGTATAGTGGTTTGAGTGTTGGATTTGTCATCTGAGAGATCTGGGTTCAATTCCCCATGAAGCCACAGAAATCTACCAGGTAACCCTGGGCAAATCACTCTCTCTCAGCCTCAGAAGGCAATGGCAACCCCCTCTGAACAAATCTATATTTGTACAGCCTACATTTCAAGCTTCTGTCCAGGAGGAATCTCAAAATGTCCTCCCTTTTGAGCATGACTAAAAAGCATGAATTTATATTCATATTAAGTTTTTGTAGCTTAAGTTTTATAGTGTTTTTAGTTCAACATTTTTCTTGAATGTCCAACGTTTGGGGTGCCTTATCTTCCTTTGCCCATGACCTACATTCTTTTCTGCATGTCTGACATTTTGCAGGGCCTTGTCCCCCTTTGTGATTAGGCAACCAGGCGTCTTCCTTTTCCAGGACACATACTACATTGTAACCTTCTGCCAAAAAGGAATTTCTGAATGTCCTCCATTTGGAGCAGTTCTAAGAAGTATGCATTTACATTTATATTAAAGTGTTTCTAGCTTTTCTTTGGTCATGTCCTACATGATTTCTTTCTTGTCCAAAGTTTTGGGGTGCCATGTCCTCCTTTGCAGTTAGGACAACAACTAGCCATCTTGTCCAGCAGGACTTTAAAATCAAGATTTTAAAAAATTAAAACACACACACACCATTCCTCCACATGCCACACAAAGGAGGGTGGAGAACTGACACAAGAACACAAATGCTTTTTAGAAGCAATAGTTTCTATTTGTTGTGCTTCCTCTTTGGAGAGCCATGAGACATGAAGTGTCTGGCCTTCTAGGCATGTGCATCCATGCTTCTTGCACGCACTGCCCCACACAGCAGACAAATGTAGACATTACCATGTTATCCATGCTGTTTCTTGCAATGGTATTTAAGGCAGGGCGACCAGATATTGTCCTAATTAAAGAGAAGGACAAGACACCACAAAATGGAGGGCATTCAAGAACAATGTAGAACAAAAAAAAACACTTAATATACATAAATTAATGCTTCTTTGTCATGCTCAAAATGGAGGACATTCTGAAATTCCTCCTAGGCAGGAGGTTGATATGTAGGATGTGTCCTGGAAAAGGAGGATGCCTGGTCACTGGTGGTGTGGTGGTTTGAGTTTTGGACTATGACTCTGGAGACCAGGGTTCAATTCCCTCTCGGCTATAGGAAACCCAGTGGGTGACTTCAGACAAGTCACACTCAGCCTCAGGGCAGGATAATGGCAAAACCCCTCTGAAGAAACTTGCCAAGAAAACTCTGTGATAAGGTCATGCAGAAATGACTTGAAGGCTCAAACAACCACCACATCCATGTAAAAATACTCTCTGGCCTCAGAGGATGCCAATAGCAAACTCCCTCTAACAAACGTTGCAAAGAAAACCCCGGGATAGGGTTGCACAGAAACGACTTGAAGGCTCATAACACACCCCAAGACCAAGTCTCTGAGGAGGAGGAGAATAAAATGGATTCCCCCTGGGAGACTGCGCCTTGTGGGGGGCTGGGACTTCCACCCCTCCTTGCTGTGGCTTTGTTTTCCAAAGCAAACCAGGCCAGCAGGCCGGCCACACCTCCCCATCCTTCACTCCTGTGGTTGCCGCATGCCATTCACATGCCACAAATGGCACACGTGCCATGGGTTCACCAACACGGCCCTAATCCCCCCACTTCCTCCTTTTCCCAAACTTTTTATGTATAAAATTTACACATGTGTTAAATATTGAATTTACTTAAATAAAGCTGTTCTAATTTGAATAATGTTTTGTTGTAGTTAACTGCTCTCGACTCATGGCGGCCTTATGGATGAGACATTTCCAAGACCCTCTGTCCTCCACTGCTCTGCTTAATTCCTGCAACCCGTTAATACCCTTGACCTCCTAATAAGTTCATCCATCTAACATGTGGCCTTCCTCTCTTCCTACTTCCCTCCACCTTCCCGATCATTGTTGTCTTTTCTAAAGAGTCCTCTTTTTTCATGATGTTTCCAAAGTACGACAGTCTCCATTTGGTCATCTTGGCTTCCAGGGAGGTTTCCGGCTTGATCTGCTCTAGGACCCATTTGTCTGTCCTTATGGCTGTCCATTGGATCCTCAGCACTTTTCTCCAGCAACACATCACTTTTCTTCCTTTCATCTTTCTTAACTGTCCAGCTCTCACATCCATACATGGTAATAGAGAATACAATGGCTTGTAGGACTCTAACTTTTGTGCTGAGTTGTATATCTTTGCATTTTAGGATCTTCTTTCATAGCCACCCTCCCCATTCTTCTTCTTCTTCTTCTGATTTCCTGACTGCAGTCCCCATTTCTATCAATGTTTGATCCCAGGTATGGGAATTATTTTACTATTTCTATTTCTTCATTGTCTAGGTTGAACTTGTGAAGGTCCTCAGTGATCATTTTTTTTTCTTTACGTTCAATATTAAGCCTGCCTTTGCACTTTCTTCTTTGATCTTCCTTAGTAGGTGTTCCTGGTCTGTGAGGTTTTCTGCTAGTATTATGGTGTCATCTGCATATCTTAGATTGTTGATATTTCTTTCTCCTATTTTCACTCCTCCCTTTTTCATGTCCAAGCCTGCTTTCCTTACAATATGTTCTGCACATAAGTTGAATAAGTAGGGTGATAGGATGCAGCCTTGTCTGACTCCTTTGCCAACTGGGAACCATTCTGTTTCTCCATGTTCCGTTCTGACAGTAGCCCCTTGCCCCAAATACAGATTCCTCATCAGGGCTATCAGATGTGTTGGCACTCCCATGTCTTTAAGGGCATTCCATAGCCTTTCCTGATCTGTGCAGTCAAAGGCTTTGCTATAGTCTACAAAGCACATGCCGATTTTCTTTTGGAATTCCTTGGTGCACTCCATTAGCCATCATATGTTTGCAATGTGCCTCTTCCTTTCCTGAACCCCTCTTGGACCTCTGGGATTTCTCTCTCCATGTATGGTTGGAGTCTATGTTGCAGAATTTTGAGCATGATTTTGCTTGCATGGGAGATCAGTACTATGGTCCTATAGTTGCTGCAGTCTATTGTGTCTCCCTTTTTGTGGATGGGGATGTATACTGATCACTTCCAATTTGTTGGCCACCATTTTGTTTTTCGTATCTGTTGACATATGCTGCTTAGCACTAGAGTTGACTGTGTTAGTGTGGATTTCAGCAGTTCAACTGGAATATCATCTGTCCTGGTGATTTGTTTTTCACTATTGCAGTTTTCACTTCACTTTTTAGAATTTGGGGTTCATTTTCAGATGGCTCTTCATTCCATGTGTCCTTCATTTTGTCATCTCTTTTGTATAATTCTTCTGTGTATCACGTTCAATGTCTTTTTATGTTTTTTTAATTTGTATATTATGTTTGTAAGTTGCCTTGATTGCTCAGGCAAAAGGCGGGATATAAGAAATAAATTCTCTTTCTTTTTGTTTATTGAAAGGGTCTGTCTACATTCTTTTTATTATGACCTTGGCTTCAGACCATAATTTCTCTGGTTTTTGGTTTATTATGCTTAGTAGTGCGAATCTGTTTCTTATGTTGTCAGTAAATTCTGATGAGATATTTAGATTATATTTTGGTATTATCACTGGTTTTGTTTTCTTCTTGAGTTTACTCTTATTTTTGATATGAGTAGTTCATGAAGTGTGCCACAATTGATGCCTGGTCTTGTCTTGGTCACTTGTATAGAGTTTCACCATCTTTTGCTTCCAATTATATAGTCTGTTTGATTTTTGTGTTGA